AATAAAAAATAATAAAATCCTGAAGGAGTAAATTAAGCAAAGAGGTATAAGACATACTGGAAACAACAAAGCATTTTTAAGAAGAAATTTGAGGAAGGCCCGAGTAAAAGGGAAGACATTCTGCGTTCACAGAAGACAATCCGCTAAGACGGCAAACTCGGTGCCGTAAGGAGTCCCTGTCAACTCGTAGTGACTGTACAGCACCAGCTGGCTCCCAAGAGTACATCTGTGTAGCCTCATCCTTCTTCCGCAGAGGAACTGGTGGTTCTGAACGCTGCCGACCTTTTGATTAGCTACCCGGCACGTGACCCACTGTGCTCCCACAGCCGCCTGCGCATCCCGGATTGGTCCACAGATTCCGCACAATGCGTATCAAGCCTTCATGGCTTATACATTCCAGGCAAAAGTGGAAATAACCCCAGATGTCCACCAACTGGTGAATAGAGAAACAGGTGGTGTATCTATAAAATGAACATTGTTCAATAATAAAAGCAATGAAATTCTGATGCCACAACACGAATGAGTCCTGAAAACATTAAGAGAAAGAAGTCGAACACAAAAAGTCGCATTTCTATGAGTATACTAGAAACTACTGGATTCTACACTTTTTTTTGTAAGTTTAAAATTTAAATATTTATTTTGTTTATCTACACATATCAAACTATCCAGAAGTTTTTCTTTTTTTCCCATTAGTTATTTTTTATTATTTATTTATTTTTAATCATTTTATTAGGGGCTCATACAACTCTTTTCACAATCCATACAGACATCAATTGTGTAAAGCGCATTTGTACATTCATTGCCCTCATCATTCTCAAAACATTTCCTCTCCACTTAAACCCCCCCGGGCATTAGGTCCTCATTTTTCCCCACCCTCCCCGCTCCCCACTCCCTCATGAGCCCTTGATAATTTATAAATTATTATCTTGTCCGGATTTTACACATTAAAAAGGAATTTTATGATATGTGAATTATATCTCAACAAAGCGGTCTCTTTTTAAAGAATCTACGTGCCAGTAACTTCCTTGGTAAGTGCCCTCAAGCTGGTTCTGACCCAAGCGACCCTCTGCACAACAGAATGTGCCAGTAACTGTGTGTGCTCTCCTTTTTTTAACTCTTTTTTGTTTTCTTTTTAATAGCCATTTAAAAGGATAGTAGAAACTATCTTGGAATAGATCTAACAAAAGTTGTGCAAGCCGAGGAAACTTTATAATTGTACAAAGCTCTTGGAAATTGAATTTTTATAAATATTTAATTACAAAACTTTCGATTCTTTAATTGTACCTTTTCTAAGAGCTGTTTTCTATTACCACCAGAGTACTTTCTAAATTATATTTGTTTGATAAGATAGATGACGTATTTAGAAGTTGACGCATAGATCAGGAGGTGAGGTGTTCTAGACCAAGAACCATAATTGCCATCTTTGACCGGTAGTGGGTGCTGTGAAGGTGACCGACCGGTAGTGGGCATGGTAACGTGCTCACACCCAAACCAAACTCACCTGCCACGAAGTTGATTCCAACTCAGAGGGATCCTGTAGGGCAGGAGGGATCCTGTAGGGCAGGGAGCACTGACCCTGCGGGTTTCCAAGGATGTAACTCTTCAAAAGCAGGCCTCATCTTTCTCCCATGGGGTGGCAGGTGGGTCTGAACCACCACCACTGAGGTAGCAGCCTAAAACAGTAACCTACTGCGACAAGGTGAATTTGGACATCAAAGAGAAGTTGGCTTAAGTAGATGAAAACCAAAAACCCATTGCTATCCAGTCTATTGTGATCCATAGCAACCCTCTAAGACAGAGTAGAGTTGCCTCCTTTGGGAGAATTATCTTCTGCAGCTACTGATAGTTTGCTTTCTTCCTTTCAAATCCTCACTCTCTTTGCTCTTTTTCCCATCTTACTGCCCTGGCCCGGACCGCTAGTACAATCTTGAAGAAAAGTGGTGCTGGTGGGCATTCTTATGTTGTAGTGCTTTTTAAAAAT